TAAAGGCTTCGCCGTTGATGGCCTCTTGATCACATCTGGACTGGATCAAATTCGTAAGATCTCTCCTGTTAAGGTATCCCGATCAGAATTCCTCCGGTGCTCAGCCAACCTTCAGTTCCTGGAAGCTGTCTCGGAAATAAAGTAATTCTGAGAGGGCCCATAGTACAAAAAAAAAAGCCAGCGTATCACAAATCTAAAACTGCAAGCTTGAGTCCTGAAGATGACTTTCCGATTCTACAATTAGCCCAGCTTGGGTGCCAAACAACATCGACAACAAGGAAACCCATCAGAATCATACTGGAAGTGATAGACTCATGCAGAACCATATCCAATCAACCTGCGCAGAATGTCCCTCTCAGTCTCGCTGGAGTGCGGAGGCTCTTGCCTGCATGAAGCTATTGTCAGTGGCACTCGCATAGACGATCCGGTCCTAGCGTTGCGTGCAGGGGTCTTCAACTGGCAAATCTGAAGGGACGCTCGGCAGTATAACAGTGTGCTGGCACCTTTGCAAAAGTGGCACGGGCTGTTCACCATGCACGCGGGCACCTTAGGAAGGATGACACGCTTTGCTCACCCTACAAGCCGGTCAACGAGGAGCAACCCGGCAAAATAACAAAACACTAACCGCTAACAGGGAAGCAATGTTCGGATCACGGGAATTCCGTCACCCTTACATGCAGGCCACTTACGAGTGCGCTAGTCGAGACAGCGGACATTGCTGCAAGGGGCCAAAGGCGAGCGGCCAAAATAAGCAGGGCGGTGCAAGCATGTTCAGTCAAATGAGTGCAGGCTTTCCCACTGAGGCGGGAGGGGTTCCATAAAGAAAAAAGAGATTGGCCTCGCAGGACCAAGATAGTTCGCATCGATTGACCGTCTGTCTGAGCGGCTTCCGGAGAAGGGAGAGCCTCCAGCAGATCCGCTAATGCGCCGGCACCAGAGCCATGCGGAGGGTCAGTACCACACACGGTCTCGTGACGAAACAGTTTGAAGTGGGGACGGCTACCAATTCGAAAAGCAGTCTGCGCCATGCTACCAAGTCACCGGATAAGCACGGATCCTAGTGAGGAATGGCAGTAGGTACTGTCGAACCATCAACACCCAATGCTTGGCACTCGACGAGCTTACTTGCTGGAGCTTCGGAGTGGGGAATAAGAGTTGGCGCTCTGGCACTCTCTGGGATATAAAATCGGGTTACTTAACCTGTGCCAAATGAAGAATCCTGGGGAACTCTGTTTCGTGGTGTACGTCTTCCGGCTGAGTTCCCCAAACAAAGCCAGCAGATGCTGGTACACAGTAAAGTACTTTTAGGTCTTCCGAAAGCTGTGAGCCTGCAATGGAACAGGGCCTGCATAGGTCAGATCAAGTGGGCCTTGGTACTGTTACGAATAGAAAAGGACATGAGTAATATTCCCACGGATCGTCAAAGTAAGCAACACCACATGCAGGCGCGTCAGGTCGAAGACAGGAAGCTGGTGCAAGCAAGCGTTTCTGTTACCCAGTGTCTTGCGCGAGCTCAGTCGTGAAGCTGGCTCCGTGTGCGCTTTCCCGGTGTCTCCTCCTACGGTTTCCGTGGTGCGGCGTGCCGCTGAGGTGCGGCGTGCCGCTGGGCGTGCCCCCTGTGCTATAATCCTGGCGGTGTTTGCATGCTCCCGAGAAGAACGAAGCATGCTCTCAAAGACGGAACTCGGTTTGCGGCCTGCTGCTCTACTTTTGTCCCAACATATCGAGAGCACAAACACACTGTTAGAGTGAGGGCTGATTTGACAATTCAAGTGTGTCTGAGTGCTCATCGATGTCTCAAATATTGCTGAGCAGGAGCCGTACTAATATGACAACAGCAGGGGGTGGCATAAGACTTGGTTTCAAACATGTTGCAGCATCACTAGTCGTCCTTCGCCCAGGCACAAGGGCTGGACTACCGGGACCAGTGGGCGTGCATAACAGAATACATTTCAGACACAAAACATCTCCTTCAAGCTTCGTTGGCCTGGTTATTTTGCTGCATCACATGCTACGTTTGATAGTGTGTACCAGTTTACTTGAGGGTGTCAGTCAACTTATGGCTACCTGCTCATTATTCCCAGCTACTCTCAGCTCTGGAGCTCTTGGGATGTGCTCCACAGTAGTCCTTTGGAGGCTCAACATGAGTAGATCTCAGAGCTGTATTTGTCGTCTCTGTTTGTGTTGTCGTTTGTGTTGTCGTTGGGGCCGCAACATGCAGACCTGCAGTCATTCACTGGTGTGTCCACTAACGAGCGTCAGATCAGTCTCTGAGGGCCCTATTGACGTGAATACTTCCTACAATCACGACAGCAATGCCGTGCTCGTTGTGAAATCAGTGAGGGTTGTATGAATAGTGAAAGTCTCTGAGTTCTTATTGATGCACTTTGAATATAACATTGGTGAAAGCATTCAGCATTATTTATGCAGTGTCCATTGGTATGGTTGTAGGAGAGGCTGGCTTAATTCCTTAACCTTTATTAGTCTGATATGCTTGTTCAGTATGATACATATTGCTTGCCAGCTCGCTACAGTCAGCTGTGGGGTTCCACGGATGCGCCCCACAATCGCCCTTCAGAGATACAACCGAGTAATAGAGTGTTTCTCTTTTGTACAAATATTCGCAGTAAGCTATACGTATTACTCGGTTGTTTCTCTGAAGGGCGATTGTGGGGCGCATCAAGTTATCTTGACCAGATCTCAGCATTGCATGAGGGAACTCAGGCCTCTCCCCCATTCCTCATCAGCCTACAGGGCCTGCAGTACCTAGAGTGTTATTAAATCCCATCACCCCATCGTGTGAGGAAACTTGGATCCCTTCCACACCTCACAATTATGTTTTTGATCTGTGTTTTTCTGTTTTCGTGGGGGGCACAAGACGCAGAGCTGTTGGCAGGGAGAGGTGCATCTACTGACGTGAGTGGGATCAGGTTCCGAGGACTGCATGCTTCCTAAGGCCGCGAGCTCCCCTTAGACTGGCGTTTCTGAAGGGGAGTTTCTCACACTGTTGGTGGACGACGAGGGTATTTTAACTGACGGATGGGGGGCAACACGGAATTTTGGCAATACCACTAACGGCGGATTGAACTGTAGCATTCTGAACGACGCGCGAGGTGGCTATTATACTCGTAGGAGAGCAGGTGAAGACAATCGGTTATTTAGTATAGGGTAGAGCGCTGTTAGGGCTTTGGGACAGCCAAGGGCTAACTTGTGGGAGAGGCTATAGACCAATCTTCAGTCATGCTACCTACAGGATGGTGCTTGGAAGGAACACCGATCGTCGGGCCGGCACCTGACCCAGTCAGAATGCTGCCCACCGAAAGCGCGGCTACTACAGCCACCAACCAGCCTAGAGCGGCCTGCAGCCGAGCTGGACGGTCCACTCTTAAAGCCCCCACCGGCGAACCTCGCGAAAACCGGCTACTTCGCATGTAGGAGCAGTTCCAACAGGTAAGGGAATTTGGTCTGCACAGAATTGCCAGCACCCTCGACAGTGCGTTTTCATCGAGCGGCTGACGGGCGGGGTTGTTTCGTTTTCCCCAGGACTTCAACGGAGAGCGCCCTAGGGAATGGCTAATGCAAATTAATCAATACTACACTGCCCTACAAATGGGCGAAGAGGCGAGACTCGCTGATGTGGCCTCATTTCTAAGAGGAAAGGCGGCGGCACACTATTGTACAACAAAGAGAAGGGCACCCTAGCTGATGCTGACAACCTGGGAACAATTTGATGATTTCATTACGGAAGGCTTCGGCACGACGCCTGTGGTGACGACTATTCGCAAAGTCAAAGAGATCCAATACAACGGCAACTTCGAAGAGGTAGTGGAACGGTTTTCCAGTGTGCGGGGGGAAGGGGAACAATTGCCAAAAGAGACTCTTAAAGACTTCTTCCTGTCAAGATTCCCCTATGACATGGTAAAGAGGGTGCTGAAACATGAATTTGCCTCTGGGGTGGAGATCCGGGAGCAGACGCTAGCCGAGAGGGCCCTTGTCGCAAACCGATCAGCGACTTGGTACGAGTATGCGACTGGAAAGTTCAGACAAGAAGTGAAGGGGCGTGACGAGCTGATCAGAGAAGCCTGGGTAGTGAATAGCAAACAG